AGAATGTATTTTTGGGAGTAATTCCACATATACCCATGGCAAGTGTGAGCAATAAATCATTTAAATTACAATTTTGTATGAAAATTTTTTTTTTTGTTATTTTCCAAAAACTTGTGGTAAAATGCATCATCCTAATATAACCACTCCAAGTCCAGTTATGTACCAGTATGTCGCTGGTCCTTGTTGGGTATATATGCTAAGGTCTTTTTTTTTTTTTCTATGCAGCCTGTGGGCTGAATGAAAAAAAATAGAAGAAATTTCTGCCAGAAAAAGTGTGTGTTATGCCCACCATTAGAATATACTGCCCTGCATCCACCCACTTCTAATGGTGGACACACATGAAATGTTCTTTTTTTGTCGTTTAGCCCAGAGGCTAAACAGATTCCTCTATTCACATTGGTTGATGTGGATGAAAAAATCTCTGCCAAAAATGTTTTTTTTTTTTAAATATATACCGAAGCATAGGGGCCATCCACCCACTGGCCACCCCAGGCCCTAATGCTTGGGCATATATGTTCTTTTTTAACTACGGATGAAAAATCTCATCCAACAGTGCTGAACACACTTACTTATGTATATTCTGAGATCAAGACCCTGTTGCTGGCGCCACCTGAATGCTTCCACTGACAGGTGAGCCCTGCTGCTTGCCTGCAAAGCAGCAGGGCTGAAGGTAAAAAAAAAAAACCACCTGCCTGGCACCCGGAACTACATGTCCAGGACGTCGGGCAATAGGAATTCAACAGCCCTGTACAAATGTCTAAATAGTGGCACGCTTGAATAAAAATTGTCCACGTATAAGTGGTACCCCATATGGGAAAATGGTGACACCAAGTCCCAAACTATCTTGCCACTGCTCCCCATATAATCTGGGCCTCCGTGGGGGCTCCATCTTTTTCCTCGTAAATCCGAAACTTATATGTATACCATGTTGCCCTCTCACAGGTCTTATACATCTTGACCCCATATCTGGCACGCTTGCTGGGGAGAAATTGTTTGAATGGAAGGCTGCAAGAAAAACTAAATGAGGGACTCATCAACACAGATGTTTTGCTGAGGAGTATAGACATCTGCAAATTTTTGGTTAAGGTGAATTATGAAGGACTAAATTTTGTGGAGCCAGTCAAATTCAGGGTCACCCTGATGACGACAGAGTGTATTGTTGATAAAATGCATTATACTCTCATATCTATGCCTAGCCATGGCAGCAGAGAACACGGGCATATGATGAATCGGGTCTGTGGACCAATACAACCGCTATTAATTTTTTTTTTCGTAATGCCCATGTTGAGGGTTAGGCCAAAAAAACTTTACATTTGGAAACTGTAATAGGTTTCCATGCAAATGGTCTGGCAAGGTTTGAACCTGGGTTAGCAGTGATATACTGTTGTGCATATAAATTGCTTTGATCCACAATCAATGCATACAGATCTTTCATGAAAAACAGCTCCAAAAAATCAAGGGGAGTAATTAAATTTGCTGCTTCCACCTGAATTCTGGGTTGGGCAGTGAATGAGGAAAGTACGCATGCTGCAGTATTTGTGGGCTGCCAATCAGGATTTGCAATCACATCCAGAAGGACACTAGGGGCTCTACGGGCCTCTGTGAGAATTCTTGGTGGCTGTGGGACACTACTTGTGCTCGCCACCGCACCAGCTTGTACTGCACTTATGGGACTCGCCACGTCACCCAGTGATACTGCAGTGCTGGTATGTATAAGACCAGGATGTACTAGACCGCTGGTGCTCGCCAGTTCACCAAAAGGTAGAGGGGCACTAGTACTGGCACTCTGCTGCATATGAAAATAATGTGATTGTAACATCTCAGCAACCTGAAAATGGGGTCGATATGCCTGACCTTAGCAGTGCCGTTGCTGTCTACAGGTTTGTATTCTGAAATTCTGTCAGTGAGGCTTCCTCTTCGCTCTCATCTAACATGTTCAGACTCCTGTAGGCCTCATCACTAGAGTACCTTTCCTTTGATATTTATAGGTACCTAGTGCGACTCATGGGGAAGAGAGCACCTGGCTGTCAGGGACTGCTCGAACCGCTACAAACAAATTTACTGCCAAGTGCTAACAGAGATCTGGTCTGAATCTGCGAACACTGCGGTTTTGTGTGCAATATATCAAGTGACAGTAATCTACTGATACTGCACTTGCTGGGGGGAGAGGGAAGGAGGGGGTGGGGTAAGCGTAGGGGGCTAAATGCAGGTGCTGGGGCTGATCCCGCTAACGTTGCATTTTTGGGGACACTATACTAATGTAAACGCACGGTATAGTGCTGATCTGATCAAAGATATTGATCAGTTCAGACACTATACTGGCAATGGAGGTTTATTGTGTATGTGAGTGTGTTCCTGGCAATCAAGGGGTTAATGACGGGCAATCTGCCGCTATCTGGGACGGACGCTAATGCTATCTGAAGTCGCCGGTGACACTAATACAGTAAAGATCAAAGGGTTAAATGTGTTCTAAAAGTGTTCAAACTGTAATTGTGTGCGGTTTCAATCACACGTGTCTGCTTTCTTCTCTCTTTGGGACAGAATGCGCCCAGAGAGAGAAGATTGAATCATTTCCTGTACCTGTGTAAGTGGAAACACAGGTACAGGATGATGTCAGATAGGCCAGGGATCGATCATTCAATTCGGCCAGAACATCACTGGCCTAAATCGGATTGATCCCTTGGGCACTGAATCGCCCCCAGTCCGCGATCACCGTGGGAGTGTGAATCACGTGTATATACGTGATTTTGCGCACCCGTGCCGCCCTGTAGCAATATTTCTGCTACAGGGTGGACAGGCTGCTGTTAATCCAGAGCGAGAAAGTACTTAGTTTCACCACCTCCGCACTAGTCCTCTGCTCCCCACTGTCACTTTTTGTTAACACAGACGGCGGCTTTCTGTTCTGACTGTTTACAATTGACAGTGCATTCTTTGCAGAGCAGGGAGTGCTCACAGAGCACAGTTTCCCATCTTCGCCCTGGGCACTGTTTGACCTTGTCCCAACACTGGTAAGAAACCTAGGGTTATATTGCCATCTAGATTTCTTACTATCAAGCTGTGTCCCTCAATGGACGATAGAGGAAATAGGATTTGTATATACCAAAAAATCCTTGTTCTTGGAATTACTTGAACACAACTGAATTGTATAGAACTAGGTGGCAGGATAGCTCTAGATTGTTTTACTCTCAGGCTCTCTCCTAATGGATTATAGAGAAATTATATTTCGGTTTTTGGATTTAGAGATGTCTTAAACTCTCAGTAATTAACTAAAAGCTACACTTCTCTGATTTGCCCAAACACCATCATGCATAAATACTGTAAATGCTGAAGGGACGCTCTGAGCATGGAAACCGCTTCCTGCAAAATTTGCCACTTTTATCTGTTAATTAATCAAGAGGTTATCAGATGCATGTACAGGAAAAGAGGAAACGATTTATTGTGTCAGCTGCATATTATTTAGGGACATTGCTGTTGAGGAGTAAGAAATGAACACATTTTTCCTTGATTTAACTGCAGTCTTTATTTAAAACAGTGCACTAATCCACAACTGGTGCAATGTAACCATACACCAGCACGCTGCAATGAATGAGCCATGCATTATGCTGAAGTGTGTAACAAAAAAGGTGGAGAGTTATGAGCATAAAGGTGTGAATATGAAGCACCCTTTAACTACTTGACAAACGGGCTATAGCCGAATGACGGCTACTACAGAGCGGTTGTCCAGTTCTGAGAGGGCGTCATATGACTTCCTCCCAGAATGCGCCCCCCGCGCGCCCGGGAGCTGTCTGTGATTGCTGTGTCCTATGGACACAACTTATCACAACAAGGTAAAAGGCCAATCACAGCGGCCTTTTGCCATGTGATCAACTGTGTCCAATGACACAGCTGACCACAAAGTAAATACAGTTGCTGTCAAAGCGTGAGGAAAGTACTGCCGATAACCGGCAAGTGTCACAGAGGACATCAGCACTGATAATCGGGGCACTAATTATCAGTGCCCTGATTATCAGTGCAGCCCCAAAAGTGCCCATCAGTGCCACCCATCCGTACTGCCTATCAGTGCAGCCTCATCAACGCACATCAGTGAAGGAGAACATCTACCTGTTTCTAAAATTTTATAATAGAAACAAAAAAAAAAAACTTACTTTAGAAAAAAAAAAACCCAGTGACGATTAAGAACCACCAAAAGAAAGCTCTATTTATGTGAAAACAATTATAAAAATGTCATATGGGTATAGTGTTGCATGACTGTGCAACTGTCATTCAAACTGAAACAGTGCTGAAAGCTGAAAATTGGCCTGGGCAGGAAGGGAGTAAAAGTGCCCAGTAGGCAAGTGGTTAAATGACATGGGCCAATCAACCACCCCTAGTGCACTAAATAAAAAAAATTTGAATTACTACTTGCTAAACAATAAACTGTAATATTTTAGAAATGTTACGATCCACAATTTTTTAAAACCTTTAGCAAATCTGAATACTAGGTAAATATAAAAGACGCAAATGAATGCAGTTCTGTATTTGTTAGAATATGATTAAATGTAGTTAAATGCAAGCAATGCCGGTGCCTCAATATGACTTGAAATCAAGCTCTTGGAGTCTCTGTGGAGCAGAAATTAGGAGGAAAGAGAAAGCAGCGCAGGGGGAACTAATCTGTTCATGTGCTGACAAGAATCATGCTGATGGTAGGTTTAAGCAGAGTGACAGAGAGAGGAGTTAATCACTGTGCTTCTTTTTCTTCACTGTCCAGTCACAGATTGGAATCAGAGTAGGTGGGTTGAATGATGCAGGCCATTATTTAACCCAGAAGACAGAGGACATCTAGTGGAGGAAAAGAAGTACTGCAGGGGATAGATTCAGATTAAACAGGAGTGTTGCAGCAAAGCCTACTTTTTTTTAAATCTTTCATTGGTCTCTTCATTTATTATTTCTAGCCAGAGATTCATTATTTTTTATTTAGGAATAATATATTATATCTGAATGAAGCAAAGTTATTGGTTTACCTTACTTCATCGAACAGACTGTTCATCTCGCTGACAAGTCTCTGGTTTTCCTCCTCAAACTGTTGAAAAAAAAAGAAGAAAAAAAACCATAAAAGGCGAATGCTTATTTAATGTGAATAAAATTAAAATACACCCCGTTACTAATTATTATGTAAATTATATTTTTCTCATTTACCCAAATAATTGATGTAAATAACAGTCAGCATAATTCTCCTGTTATCAACTATTAAGAGTACAATTGAAATGTTATTGAACAAACCTCCTAATGATAACAGTATTTTTGTTAAACATAAAACACTTCCAATGCACTGTTCCAAATTATTACACACAATAAGTTTCAAAACACTTTATAGGTTGTAAAGAACTGAAAATTGTCATTTGTTGTGTTTGCAGCATATTTACTGAAATCAAAAGCTATTTCAATCAAACTTTTAACAACATTTTAACTTTTTAAACATTTTAACAGGTCACGTTACATTTTAACATAGGACCCCTTATTTGATAGCAGCTTCACAAGTCTTGCATCCATTGAACTTGGGAGTTTTTGGACAGTTTCTGCTTGAATTTGTTTGCAAGATGTCAGAATAGCCTCCCAGAGCTGCTGTTTGGATGTAAACTGCCTCCCACCCTCATAGATCTTTTGCTTGAGGATGCTCCAAAGGTTCACAATAGGATTGAGGTCAGGGGGGATGGAGACCACACCGTGACTTTCTCTCCTTTTATCCCCATAGCAGCCATTGATGCAGAGGTATTCTTTGCAGCATGAGATGGTGCATTGTCATGCATGAAGATGATTTTATTACGGAAAGCATAGTTCTTCCTTCTGTACCAGGGAAGAAAGTGGTCAGTCATAAACTCTACATACTTTGCAGAGGTCATCTTTACACCTTCAGGGACCCTAAAGGTGCCGACCAGCTCTGTTCCCATGTTTCCGTCCCAAAACATGACTCCACCACCGCCTTGCTGATGTCGCAGCCTTGTTGGAACAGGGTGGCCGTCCACCAACCATCCACTACTCCATCCATCTGGACCATCCAGAGTTGCACGGCACTCATCAGTGAACAGGACTGTTTGAAAATTAGTCTTCATGTATTTTTCTGCCCAATGCAGACATTTCTGCTTGTGAGCATTGGTTAGTGGTGGCCGAATAAAAGGTTCATGCACAGTTGCAAGACTCTGGAGGACTCTACACCTTGATGTCCGTGGACTCCAGAGGCACCAGCAGCTTCAAATATCTGTTTGCTGCTATGTAATGGTATTTTAGCAGCTGCTCTCTTGATCCGATGCATGGATCTGGCAGAAATCTTCCTCAATGTGCCTTTATCTGCACGAACCCGTCTGTGCTCTGAATCAGCCACAAATCACTTAATAGTGCGATGATCACGCTTAAGTTTTCGTGAAATATCTAATGTTTTCATAGCTCGTCCAAGGCATTGAACTATTTCACTCTTTTTGGCAGCAGAAAGATCCTTTTTCTTCCCCATATTGCTAGAAAATGGTGCTCTGCTTAATAATGTGGAACACCCTCCTTTAGTAGTTTTCCCTTAAATTGGGCTCACCGGCCAATCTAATTATCACAGGTGTCCGAGATTGTTTTCAGTGATCAAAAGAGCCCTGAGACACAATGCCATCCATGAGTTAAACTGAAAAACCAAATATTTAATCTTTGTGACACTTAAATAGAATTTGCATAATAATTTGGAACAGGGTGTAAACGCACAAATTTAAAAGAAAGCTCAAGTTAGAAATGTTCAGGTAATAGTATTACAAATCCTCAATCAAACATACCAAAGTTTTTCTCAGTTCTGTTTTCATTTCCATTCTGCGTACTAACACAAGCGCAATGTAGGCTAAATTCAAGGCAAACCTCCGACATCGTTTTTATGCCTATGTCAGTTCTCAATCAAACACGAACGCTTACGATGGCTGGTGTCACAGCTGATCAAGTGAGCAGCATCACGGAAACTGCAGATCTAAAAAGGCTGAGATTTTGGTCCTGACCTATAGTCCATACATTTTGGCCAGAAGTCGACAAATTCCTATCCACTAGGTTTACCTAATATATTGCATCTGAAAAATTGTTGGGTATTTTTGGTGAATTATCTGCTACTGCACATGTCAAAGATCTATCACGTATACTGTACTTTTTGCCAAGAAAACCATCCATTTATACTGGAAAGGAACAATTTGTCCTACTCTGACCACTTGGTTTAAATTAATAAATGATAGTTTACCTCTGTACAAACTCGCCTTTGAACTAAGAAAGAAATCCCATCGCTTTGATAAACTATGGCATAAATGGGTGTCTAGCCCCCTTACCCTGACATCTTTAGATTCAGGATTTTCATCTCTTACCGTTTTCGGTATTGTAGTGGTGCTCCTCAATCAGTACCTACCCCCTCTATCAATAAATTGATCATGCTTATTATACTGTCATTTTCTTCACCATTATTGTATCTTATAGAGACAAAGGAGGCACGGATTGGTTATGTTTTTAACCTGTTTATTGTTACCTTGTATAAAAAAAAAAGTAAAATCTTTCTCAATAACAATAAAAAAAAAAAAAGAAAAAAAAAAAAAGGATGAGATGGTCCTATCAGCGGTTTAATTTTGCTTCCAAGTAGAACTACACTTGTGTTAGAAATTGCATTATAATGGACTCTTTTTAGGTAACCGCCATTTTTAAAAATGTATTATTTAATTTACATTATATCGCTCTCTTTCTCTCAGTTCCCATATCTGACAGTCCAATACCATGCTGGGGCTGTTTCAGGGATCCTCTAATAGGTAATAGCACCCACAAAATATCTTCGTGTGAACTGGCAGTATCTTCTCCTTACTCCGTGAGAGCGGGGAAATATTGGACCCTAATGCTTCAAGCGATAGGAAGATAATTCTCCTATTTTTCTTGGAAAAACGTTGACCTATGACTAGTGTGATAGACTTTTGAAATGTGGTAGGAATTAATTTCTTAAAGTAATTCTACATCTAGTCTTTTGGCCAGAAGCCCTGAACAGATAGCAAGGTCAGGGTATTGCTACAATGCTTGGGTCTAATGTTTGCTGAAAGCTTCTGATAACTGAGGAACATCTGAGGATATGTGTTGTTCTTAAAGCATTTGCAGTATATTCACACATTGTTAATACTATCTAACGCAGGACGTATATTACCAATTTTCTCTTTCAACCACAGGTTAAAGGAACGAAAATTGCTCAAATCCCTCCTGTGGAGCATCGGGAGGTTTACCAGCCACCAGAATCCAATAATCACTGTTGGCGGCTATAGCAGCCAGAAGTGATTGAATGAAACAAATAAAAAAAAAAAAAAAAGACAGGCTGGTTGTACTAGATAGACTTCAGTACAACCAGCCTGCCTATACATGGATTGAAATTCTATTGGTTCCTGCTGAACTGGCTGAATTTTGATTTGTCTATGGCTGGCTTAAGTTTTCCTGTTGTCTCCAATGGACCAAGTTGAAGAGAGAATTGCTGCAGGTCCTAAATTCATAGAGATGTGATCAAGGATGTGCAGGTGCCTCTCTGCTTTGATGGAATATCTGTCTATAACCGGTGACAGAATAATGAACAATCACAGGCTGGCAATCAAATGTATAAAGATATCCATGGTGCTCATTAATTTATTAAGTCTCAAAACCAAAAATCTCTGGGAACTAGAGTTATTTTCTTGGCAGACGAGACATGCAAAGTTGATTTTGCCAAAAAAAAAATGTCCCTGGCCCCTAGGGTTTTTTTTTCCTCTTTTGCACTGTGAATCCAGGCTCTTTTCTTTGCATACCTAAAATGGAGGGGGAGGGGCTGAGTACAATGAAACCCCTGTGCATATGTGGGGAAGTTACATTATCAGTGACTGTCCAGTGGTTGACTAGAAATGTAGTGGGACCCAAAAGTGGTGGTAGCACTTCATTTGAGGAAGGGGAAAACAGGATCCTTGAAGATACCTTCTCTAGTCCTTAGGGGTGAAGTGAGTCTAGAGGAGTGTGGTATGTTGGGTGATTATGTTTAATTTAAGATAATTTAATTTAAGAGTGTGACTCTTGACCTTTTCTACACTTTTGACTATATACCTGCTTACACACACACCTACCTCTCTCTTTATATGTATAATATATATCTGCCAATCTAATACTTATTTCTATGTACACTTCTAACCAAACAAGCATTCATATAGGAGACAAATATCTCTGGCAGTGAACAGCACTTGCCCTGAAAAGCACTTGGTTAAGTCTGGGTGGTAGAAAAGCAATCAGCGCTGCTGACAGCAGCCGCTATTAATCTTTAAAAATCAATTTAGCACGCAAGATTGGTCTACAGGAATAAAACGGATATCCAAAAAGTGCAGATTCGTCATCTGGAAGGATTACTGTAAGTGTATGAGGAAGATGTATCAGCCTTTGATATAACATATAATCTTTGCATATCCACTTCCCGCTCCAGACAGGCAGCCGTGACAAGTCATTGTACTAGTAATAAACCTGCAAACACACTATTTGTATATATTCATTTACCAAGCTGAAATCACAGACGTTTAACACACCAGCCTTCTGTATGCAGACAGGCAATAGCAGAGAAGAGACAGACATTTTCTATTTTTTTATGGCTTATATCTATGAATATTATTAGAAGGTGTGACTAGTGCCAGTAAGGTCAATGCTTCTAGTATACAATTCAAAGCGTATTAAAACTGCTGTGTGAACATAGTCAGCTTGTTAGCTAGGAAGACAAACCCCCATCACTGTGATGACCATCCTCAATGGTGAGGCATGTGAAGTGGTTGGACCAAGTGCCAACTTCCTTTTTGAAGATGGGATATTAGAGCACCGAAGGTTCTGGAGCTCCTAGTGTGCATTAAAAGGTAATAGACTTTGCAGGCATCTAGATACATCTGCTATTCCACCCCAGCGGCAATTTACTATACTGGAACTTCGTACAAATGCACTTAGGGCTTGTTTAGATGTGCTTTAACGTTTAAGAGCTTGTTCACATTAGCAGTTGAGGGACTACAAAGCCCTGCAGTTGAGCCGTGTTTTTACACCCCCCCC